CGACAAAATCAATTCGGTGAGAAATAAAGGCGGCAGCCATGAAAAATCGCACTCCGCGCTCGATCTTCTCGCGCACGCGAATTCTACCCACACATGCAAATATATTTACGTACATTGATCGGTTGGCATGTGCTCGTGGCACACGCGACGACCAAATGGCGTGACAGTTATGGTGCATTTGCGGGACGCGTGCCACCGTACCGGGTGTCTGTTTAGAATCAATTGACGCATTCAAAGTGGGACTCTACGAAGAGACGCGTTTGCGGCCCAATTTGAGCATAGTCGATGAATGGCGAGCACCAAGCCGGGATTGTACGCGTATCCGGGCTTTTTCGTTGAAAGAAATCGCCGCGAATTTTCCGCGATTGTCGCGTGTTTCTAATGCCGTCACGCGTTTTGTTCGCAGTTCGCCTTGGAATAAGATTGTCGGTAGTAGTTTCATCGCGATATCGATCGCGAACGGGGAAAAATAAACGCGGCTGAATTTACATTGGAACTCGATATTTCACTTTTTCCCTCGTTCGATATTTGTTTTGAGAATGAATATTGGTCGCGCTAAAAAGCTGCGGAGGATGACGCGTTATCCGTACGCGTGTATGAATCTTGGAAGCTTTCGCCGCCAGCGAGGTACCTACGTCACGTCGCTGCGATAACAGCTCGACTATTCGGCCTTTGGATAAGGAAGGGAAAAAAAGTCCTGTTATCGTCGGCCAGTGATGACGAGGGCGCGAGCGCTGTTCAGTTACACTTTACTCCATTTTGATTCAAAGATGGACATAGTACACGCGCAGGCAGAACAGAAACTGCACGGAGCGATGGTTTCTTTATGAAGAGGTTAGGGTAACCTTTGTGGGCAGCAGGGGATGGGAGAGGAGGACGATCCGCGAAAAAAAGAAACGGGGAAAGATTACTAAACGCGTTGCACCGGCAATTTCGTGTGCTGCAATTTTCTTCGTTGCGACACACTCTGTCAGATACTAAATAGGACGTGCGTGTTACCGCTGTGTCCTTCGAAAAACCACCACGTCCGGTCGGTTTCTCGAGCATGCGATTTTGGTGATTCCGACATCGGCGTACGTAGCTAACGGTTTATCGCGGTTAACGGATCTGCCGTATATTCACGCGAGGAACTCGCGTTTTCTCTAGCGATCGTTTATCGGTGCCCTTTCAACGGCTTCTAAGACGAATTCTAGCGAGACGAAGACGAAATGCTAGAAAGACTAAAGAGACTAAAGAGTAAACAAAGGGGTCGGCAGAGAAGAGGGGTTTTGCCGCTCGTCGTTGTTTGATGTAGTTGCGGTGGTGTCGTAGGTCTGGAACGGGTAGCGGAGGAGTTGATGGGCCGTAGGAGATGGAAGCAATATCAGGACACCTTGTACAGCGGTACTCGCAGCAGCGAATCAGTGACGGCACAGCCCCACCACCGGCTATACCCGGCGTTTTCGTCGTCCTGCGACCCGGTGCCCGGGAACCTGGAGCAAATTGGGCCGCGACCGCTTCATCCTGTGTCCTCCTCGTTACCTACAACGATTACCACGATTACAACGACGGTCTCACCG